AAGGTCAGCCTAAAACCGAAATGGCCAATAACCAAAATAATATTTCCCTTAAAAAAAAAAATACATTTTTTAAAGATTAACTATACAATGAGAGCTAAATAAAATGACTTATGAAATGGATAAATGAACATTTAAATCACTTTTACCTTTATTGAAGAGTTTTGTTGGCACATGCAAAATGGCGAGGAGCGGAGAGGGAGGCGAGTTTATTGTTTGGAGACAGGACAAAATGCTTAAATATGATGCTATCATCAACTCTAAGGCTTATTTATCTATCACAATTCATGTAATATGTCATAATAAACAATATTAATAACATAGAAACATGATATATACTCTAGAATGAACAACATGTCATTACATATGTGGAGTGGTAGTGTGTTGTTGTTGTTGTTGGATTTTTAAGGGCCACTGAGAGCATAAGCCGTACATATTAGTGGTAGTGGAGGCGGCAGCAGAAGCCACCACCACTATTCACTGAAACAAAGTATGTACATATTTTATAAATAAGAAATATTTACACTTTAATTTATAAATAAGAAATATTTACACTTACCTTGGAGGAGATGCTGGCATTGGTTTAAGGTGGTTGAAGATATGCAGGGTGGCGTAAATTGTCAGTGGCCCTATATACCTCCAAAAACATTGGAGTCAGTTTCGTGTCATCCTTTTTCTATCACTTAACGTACCTGCTACACTGTTAATGCTACACTTTATTGCTGGCTGGTGATAAAGCCTTTATCAACTCCTGCTGGTTTAGTATCGTACATATAGAATCACTGAGTCACTGAAGAAAGCACATTCTCCCCTCTCTCTTCCTCCTTCACTCTCATACTTTTCAACAACTTTCTTAAATTTCATCTTGTTTCTCACTTTCTTTACCAAAGGAACTTTACTAGGAACTTTCTTTGGACCCATAGTTGCTTATTTCGCAGTTGCACTCAATCAATAACCACAAAAAACAATGGATGATAATGAAATATTTGGATGAATGAGCAGAAGTTTCCTCACTCGCCCAGAGACACAGCCAGACTGATTCATGAACTCGCAAGCGGTTGGCAGGCGGGCAGGTGGACGTGTCCAATACGGCCAATAAGCGAAATAACAGTCGATACTCAGAATAAAATTTCACCCAAAAAGCAGCTGATAACCGTAATAAAATTTCGGCCAAAAAAAAAAAACGGCCGATAACCGAGTTGGACGATATCTAGAACGGCTGATAACCGAGGGTCCACTGTGAATCCAAAACTATATCTTTGCATTGTATACAATGTGTAATTTACATGTAAAATATTGTTAAGCACAAAGGTTAGGTTAGGTGAAGTTCATCAGGAAACAGGACAAGTGTTTCCTGATGCAGATCTTAGTCAGATGATGACCCACCATTGGAGCTTTTGGTCAACTAACCAAGGTCTTCCACTGGCTTACCAGTCCACCCCTTAAAAAATTATGGTCATAGATGTAACCATTTTTTATGATGTTAAGCACAAAGAAAGCCACTAGCATGCATGAGCGTTTTGGTTAAGTGCAGTAATTATTTGTTTATTTACTTATCCAGTAACAGTAGTTATTTATTTACTTATTTATTTAGCATATCATATTCATATGCAATTTACGATATTTTCAACTTATGACAGGTTCGTCAGAACATAACTCCATTTTAAGTCAAGGAGCACGTGTACAGTGCTTTACTCTTAGCAGGGTTTAAAACTTTTTCATAAAATAAGGGTTATAGAAGTTCACTGCCACTGTATTAAAAATTATTACACATAAGAACATAAGAAAGAAGGAACACTGCAGCGGGCCTACTGACCCATGCAAAGCAGGTCCATGTCCCCTCTCCCCCCCAAATAGCTCAATGACCCACCTAGTCAGGTCACTTCCACTTAAGGAAGGAGCATGGCATCAGACCTAGCAGCACAAGCTAGTCAGGTCCAACTCACACCCACCCACACCCACTCATGTATTTATCTAACCTATTTTTAAAACTACACAACATTTTAGAATCTATAACTGTACTCGGGAATTTGTTCCACTCATCCACAACTCTATTACCAAACCATTGCTTTCCTATATCCTTCCTGAATCTGATTTTTTTCCAACTTTAAACCATTGCTGCGAGTCCTGTCTTGGCTGGAAATTTTCAGCACGCTATTTACATCCCCTTTATTTATTCCCGTTTCCCATTTATACACCTCGATCATATTCCCCCTAATTCTACGCCTTTCAAGAGAGTGCAGATTCAGGGCCCTCAGTCTGTCCTCATAGGGAAGATTTCTGATACATGGGATCAACTTCGTCATCCTTCTCTGTACGTTTTCCAGGGCATTTATATCCATTCTGTAATACGGTGACCAGAACTGTGCAGCATAATCTAAATGAGGCCTAACCAAGGATATATAGAGTTGAAGAACAACCTGAGGACTTCTATTATTTAAACTTTTAGATATGAAGTCAAGGATTCTGTTAGCTTTATTGCAAACACTAATGCACTGTTGTCCTGGTTTTAGATTACTGCTAACCAGAACTCCTAAATCCTTTTCACAATCAGTAGTATTAAGATCACAACACACACACAATTATTATTTTTGAAGAATATAAAAAACTACAAAGGGCATTAAACATTAATGCTTACTATCTTCAAATAATAACATTATTCATTTGGTGGCAGTTTGCTTGATCCCATGACTTGCAACAACTTGCTGGTATGCAATTAAGCTGCCACTGAGACAAAAGCCTCCTCACTCAACATCCTACACCAAGACAGGATAACAGCTGAGAAATTACAGTGGAACCTTGACTAACGAGTGTCCCAACGTATGAGTTTCTTGAGGTACGAGCTGTCCCTAGGTCAATTTTTTGCTCTGAGTTACGAGCCAGCTCCCCCTGCTTCCCCATCAATGCCAATCAATACCAGCTTAGTACATCTACGATATGTAGATACTACAGCTGTATCAGTTATGTTCAGTGATTAACCCTTTCAGGCTCCGTGCCGTAGTTCTACGGCTTTGAGTTGAGGGTCCAAATCGTGAGCTCAGCTCACTTTGTTAAGCTGTGAGTGGTAAATTTGGGCCTAGATATGAGAGAATACATCTGTGTGGTATGTGTGCAACACATAAAACAAATCCTGCAGCACACAGTGCATAATGAGGGAAAAAACTGAGACCGTAATTTTCGATTAAAACAGCGACTTTGCAGTGTTTTTCCGTATGTTTTTTATAGTTGTATTTGCAATTTCTTAGTCTCATTTGATAGAATGGAAGATATTTTACAGAAATAGAGATGATTTTGATTGGTGTTAGTGCTGGAAATGGCTTCAAACTGAGCTCAAAGTAACAGAAATGTTCAATTTTTGCCGATATTCAAGAGTGAACAAATGACATCACATGTCCAATACATGCCAGCTGGTGGATCTAATATACATTCACAAATGTGGTGATATTATTTATACAATTATTACAATATTGCATAACAGTAAATCTTCTATTTTTTGGTTTGAATAAAAATTCATTATGTGAATAAAAAATCAAGATGGAATTCATTTGTAAAGCCTGAAAACGTAAATAATAAACAGAGGAAATGTTAGTTTAGTGCCTGGAATTACTGCATTGTTTATTCTGGACCCTATTTTGAAATTGGAATATTTTGAATTTTGCATTAAATTGGCCAAATTACCAATTACTGATCACTTTGTTTTGTAGTTGAAACAGTTGACTTGGCGATTTCTTCTGCTCAGTCAATAGAAGTAATACTAGTGAAATAGCTAAGAATTTGGTCGACTGGTATAATGTAATTGGCCTAAAATGGGAGTCAAAGTCAGCAAAATCACCAATGCGTAAATATCACTGACACACCAAAATTCGCGAGAGCATAATTTTGTCAATTTTCCATCAAATTTCGTACTTTTTGTTTTATTACCCTCAGAAAAAGATTCTCTACCATTTCATAAGAAAAAATAACAATTTTTTTTTTAAATTCTTGGACCCTGGTGCACACTTTGAAATTTGGCCTCTGGACCCTGAAAGGGTTAAACAAAACAAATTGTATCAGTTAAGTTCAGTGATTAAAAAACAAATTGTATCAGTTAAGTTCAGTGATTAAACACAAGAAATTGTATCAGTTAAATTCAGCGATCAAACAAAACAATATTGTTGTTGGAGGTTTACCGGGCCACTGACATCATACGCCGTAGCCTCAACCTCCCCCACCCTCAACATCCCCCCACCATCTCTGCTCCAAGTGTGTAAGTACACATACACTTTATATAAACAGTTTAACATTTCTTTACATTCTGTAGTGTATTATGATTTATTATGTTTTTATATACGATATTTCTGCAATTAGCCTCACAAATACTCTGTTTTCTATTATAATAAGAGCATGGGAAGATACTATAGTCAAAGTTAGACATGATGTGGCGGAAGCTTCCGCCGATGCCTCCGCCACCATATTATGGCCTATTTTATTCATTCTAGAGTATATATCATGTTTCTGTGTTAATTACATTGTTTATTATGTCATATTAGATGAATTGTGATAGATAAATAAGCCATACAGTTGACATTAGTGTCATATTCAAGTATTTTATCTTGTCTCCAGAGTTCAGGAACGGATTAATGGCTTTTCAATTAATTTAAACGAGGAAAATTGATTTGATATACGAGTAAACTGAGCTACGAGCTAGGTCACAGAACAGATTAAACTCGCAAGTCAAGGTTCCACTGTAATTCCCTCTGACAAACTTGGCGCTGCTAGTAATTACATTGAAGAAACTAAATAATTTTATATTTTCCTATCTACAAGCAATATGCTGATCATTCATAACAAATATTACATTCTTCAGTTCCAACAAGCAATTATCATGTAAAAATACTTACTGTACATTATCAAGAGTAAAACTCAACAATACTGTAACTAAATCTGCTGCAGAAATAAAATAAAGACTTATAATTCCACTTGCAAAAATGAAAAAAATGTAACTTATTGCATGTTATTCTTACCTGCACACATCAAGACGCACCATCTTCTTATCAAGCATGTCAATCAGTCGACCAGGTGTGCATACCATGATGTGTACACCTCTGTAATCATGCAATAATAAAATAAAAATTTTACATCACTGACAATTAAGAAAGGTGGCATCTCATCCCACAAATATATATGCAGTTGAAGCTCCAAATTCACACCAGGGTAGGGCAACCCAAAAAAGAAATATTTTCACCATCATTCACTCAATTACTGTCTTGCCAGAGGTGCACAGATATTACAGTTCAGATGCCCCTCCAATCTACAAATATTCCTTCCCCTCCTTCAGAGTGCAGGCACTGAACTTCCCACCTCCAGGATTCAAAGTCTGGCTAACCAGTTTCTCTGAATCCCTTCACAAAATGTTACTTTGCTTACACCCCCAACAGCTCATCATGTCCCAAAAGACATTTGCTTCCACTCACTCTTATCTAATAGTATGCTCACACATGTCTGCTGGTTGTCCAAGCCCCTTGAACACAAAACTTCCTTTACCCCTTCCTTTCAACCTTTCCCAGGGTGATCCTTACCATGCCTTCCCTCTAGTACAGATTTATACACCCTCCAAGTCATCTTATTTTGCTCGATCCTCTCTAAATGACCAAACCACCTCAACAACCCTTCCTCAGCCTTCTGGATAATAGTTTTAGTAACCCCCACATAACCTCCTAATCTCCAGGCAACAAATTCTCTGCAAAATATATGCACCACACATTGCCCTCAGACACAACATCTCCAATTCATCATTCACAACCCATGCTTCACAACCATATAGTGTTGAAACCACCATACTCTCATAAATTCCCCTTTTTGCCTCAGTGGATAATATTTTTGTCTCCACAGATGCCTCAATGCACCGCTCAGCTTTTTCTCCACATCATTTCTATGATTCACCTCATTTTTCACAGACCCATCTGCTGACAAGTCCATTCCCCAATATGTAAACACATTCACTTCCACCATACTCACTCCTTCCAATCTGATATCCAATCTTCCATTTCCTAAATCATGTTATCATCACCCTGCTCTTTCCTATGTTCACTTTTAATTTCCTTTTTTTACATAACCTCTCAGATTTATCTACCAACCTCTCCCAAAAGAACAGTGTCATCAGCAAAAAGCAACTGACACAACTACTACCCTGTATTAGATCAGGCCTATTATATATTTATATAAAATAATTTTGTAAAATCTAGGTAGTAGGTTGGTAGACAGCAACCTCCCAGGGAGGTACTACCGTCCTGCCAAGTGAGTGTAAAATGAAAGCCTGTAATTGTTTTACATGATGGTAGGATTGCTGGTGTCCTTTTTTCTGTCTCATGAACATGCAAGATTTCAGGTACGTCTTGCTACTTCTACTTACACTTAGGTCACATTACACATACATATACAAGCATATATATACACACCCCTCTGGGTTTTCTTCTATTTTCTTTCTAGTTCTTATTCTTGTTTATTTCCTCTTATCTCCATGGGGAAGTGGAACAGAATTCTTCCTCCGTAAGCCATGCGTGTTGTAAGAGGCGACTAAAATGCCGGGAGCAAGGGGCTAGTAACCTCTTCTCCTGTATATATTACTAAATGTAAAATGAAAAACTTTCATTTTTCCTTTTGGGCCACCCCGCCTCGGTGGGATACGGCCGGTGTGTTGAAAGAAAGAATACTAGACTACTGTAGTAACCTATAATTTTGTTCAGTTTCTTTTCAATGTCACCCAAGACCACGATGCTGCCATTCAGAGGGTTACTTAATTGTAATGTCCACACACACTTCTAGCAAGAGCACTAATAAATGATGATGGATTTGTTTCCTTGTTTAGCTCTCCTACCTTGGTGGGAGATGGCCAATAAGTAAAACAAAAATATATGAACAGTATATATAAATATTTATATACAGGAGGGCACTGTGAGAGAAAAAGCCCTTAAAAGGGAGGGTTATAGCTGTTTAGATACCCAGGAAACATTAGCGCGTTACCGCCTGCACTACCATCTAGCGGGTTGAGGCTAAACTTCAGTTCTTCGGGCCTGATTTGCTTTAATTTTTACTCCTGGTAGTATGTATTAATCTTACCTGGTGTGGGTTGAAGTTGGAGAAGCACTTCACCTCCACTCTTCTCCTGATCAGGTAAGGTGATCTACCAGGAGTATTTCTATTTTTTGTTACTGATTTACCTGGTTACCAGTAATGACACTGAAGTAGAATACCACCCTTTGTCTTTCTTCCATGTTATACTTATGTAACCAGTTTTTTTTTTTTTATTTTCAGTTCTGCTACTGGCCTGGTCAACCAGGCCAGTAGCAAGATCCCTGTCTACAGGACTTAGTGGGACATTATGACTCCTCACCTCTGAAATCTGAATTGTGGTACTACAACCAAGTAGTGACAGGAATTCCAGAACATTGAACGAATACCGCCACCCAGGATAACCAACACCATTTCTTCTAAAACATCATAAGACCATCCTGGGCATAAGATACTCTTGTCCCAACATCCTACTGGAACCACAGCAGACAATTTTTATATTTATTTTTAATTAAAATCCTTAGAAAATTACCATAATTATTATCCATCAAGTTATTCATTATTTATATTTCCATTCTTTTGTTCAGGCAGAAGGCATTTCCCTGACAGCACCACTTATACAGCAGGTTACATTCCAAGCTACCGCATTAAAGCGGATATTGCCCTAAAGCGAATCATACTTTTTTCTCCTACAAATATACAGTGGTCCCTCAATAATCGTCCGGCCTGAAAGTCGTCCATTTCGGAAATAGTCTTGTTTTTTCGTCAAAATATTGGCTCGCAAATGGTCCGGTAACTCGCTAATAGTCCTAATAGTTCTTCGTCCCGGACGCGTACTCAAGCTCTGAGCCGCCTCAGCCTTTCCTTCCCAGCCAGTGTGCCATTGTTTACCAGTGAGTGACGGTCCCCTCACATGCTCCTACGAAATATTTCATAATATTCCATTGATTTTAGTGCTTGCAAGTGCTAAATAAGCTACCATGGCTCCAAATAAAGCTTATAGTGCCAGCCCTTTGGTAAAGAATGTGGGAAACACATAATTTATGAAAAAGTTTGTAGAAAAATACAAAGATGGTGGTGGTATAGTGGAAGCAGTTGTGATAGTGGTTGATGAACATAAGAAAGGAGGATCACTGCAGCAGGCCTGTTGGCCCATGCTCGGCAGGTCCTTTACAATTCATCCCACTAACGAAACATTTTCCCAACCCAGTCCTCAATGCTACCCAAGAAATAAGCTCTGATAACTCTATCCACTCATTTGCAAGTCCCAAATGAGTGGATAGAGTTATCAGAGCTTGGGTAGCATTGAGGACTGGGTTGGGAAAATGGGATGACCTGCCGAGCATGGGCCAACAGGCCTGCTGCAGTGATCCTCCTTTCTTATGTTCATCAACCACTATCACAACTGCTTCCACTCTACCACCACCATCTTTGTATTTTTCTACAAACTTTTTCATAAATTATGTGTTTCTCACATTCTTTACCAAAGGGCTGGCACTAGAAGCTTTCTTTGGTGGTAGTGATGGTGGTAGAAGGTAGTAGTGATGGTGGTAGAAGGTAGTAGTGATGGTGGTAGAAGGTAGTAGTGATGGTGACAGAAGGTAGTAGTGATGGTGGTAGAAGGTAGTAGTGATGGTAGAAGGTAGTAGTGATGGTGGTAACAGTTGTAATAGTCGTAGAAGGTCGTAGTGATGGTGGTAGTGGGTTCCTTCTTTAGTGGTTCAGCGATTCTACCAACTCCTCCAATGTTGTTGGAGTTATATAGGGCTACAAAACCCACCGCCAACTCAGCTGCTGCTTCACCACCATTATGGACGGCTTACACTCAGTGGCCCTTATATACCCAACAACAACACAACACCTCTCGTGACATACGTAATGACTTATTTTATTCATTCTAGAGTATATTCTATGTTTCTATGTTATTAATATTGTTTATTATGTCATATTAGTTGAATTTTGATAGATAAATAAGCCATAGAGTTGATATTAGTGTCATATTCTCCAACAATAAACTTGCCATCCCTCCCTCACACAAACAAATAGCCAATAAGAACATAACAATGGAAGAACACTGCAGGTCTACTGGTCCATACAAGGCAGGTCCTTATCAAAATGACCTCCACCCAAAGCTACCCAAGAATTTACTCCCGTACCCAATGACACAAATCAAACTCAGCTCCTCCAACTCGTATATTTGTCCAATCTCTTCTTAAAGCTACCCAAAATCCTAGCCTCGATCACCCTACTGGTAAGTGTGATGTTAAATAAGAACTTAAGAAAGTAGGAACACTGGAACAGGCCTGCTGGCCCATACTAGGCCGGTCCTTCACAAATCCAACCCACTAACAGAACAAATGCTACCCAAGCAATAAGCTCAGGTGCAAGTCCGACTCAAATCCAACCCCTCTCACTCGTGTTTTTATCCAGCCTAAATTTGAAACTACCCAATGTTTTAGCTTCAATCACCCTACTAGGCAGACTGTTCCACTCATCAACTACCCCTATTACCAATGTTTATACATTTTATGATTGCCCTAGAGTCCTTATGGAGGGGGATTCCCCTTCCAAATAACCTCTTCCCTCTCCTCCTCCTCCCTGTCTTCCATTCATCAACAACAGCCTTCAATAAAGGTAACTGTCATGTTGAATGTTCATTCTTCTGTGCATGTAAATCTATCTTTTAGGTAAAAAAAAAAATTTGTTGATACTTCTGGGTGTCTGGAACGAATTAATTGGATTTACATTATTTCTTATGGGGAAAATTTATTCGAAAATCGTCCATTTCGATAATAGTCCCACTTCCAGGAACGGATTATGGACGATTATTGAGGGACCACTGTATATAAATGCTTCATAATATGTTTACACTATGATATATATTAAGTTAGCAATAGAACTAGGCATTAAAAACAATAAAAAAGTAAAATATACATAACTTAAAATATTTGTAATCTTAATGTAGAGTGAGAGGTGAGTAGCATTTATTGTACGAAGTCAGGTGTGGTAGCTCACCCGGTTACCACACCTACACGAAATATACAACATTTAAAGTGCCCCAGAGCGATTATTATTATTATTACTACTACTACTACAGTACTGATATACCTTAATAATAATAATAATAATAATAATAATAATAATAATAATAATAATAATAATAATAATAATAATAATAATAATAATAATAATAATAATAATAATCAGGAGCAAGGGGCTAGTAACCCCTTCTCCTGTATATATTACTAAATGTGAAAAGAGAAACTTTTGTTTTTCCTTTTGGGCCACCCCGCCTCGGTGGGATACGGCCGGTGTGTTGAAAGAATAATAATAATAATAATAATAATAATAATAATAATAATTTTATTTACTACAATAACATACGTACTACTATATAGAAAGCCCCTTGTTATGCAAAGCATTTCGGGTAAATTAGGTCCTCGTCCCAGGATGTGACTCACACCAGTCGACTGACTACCCTCGGATGCCATTGTAATGAGAGAAAACAAGTAAACGAGACGCAGAGAACATAAATAAACAGACAAATGCGTATTAATTCCTGTCTGCTTACGGTTCATACACATTCATTTCACATACATTTGTGAAGCTTTTACCCCACTATACAAACACCTTACATTATGTACAAGCTGTCCTCATGTTGGTGCAGTTGAATAAATAACAGCAACACTCCCATTCTCATGAAACACACCATTTTTAGAGGAAATGACATTATGAGTGAAGGCATACAAAAGGAATATTTTTCTACAGTTACCCCAGTAATACTACTGTGTACAGTTTCTCTGGTGCTGGACTAGAGAAAACATAATTCTTGCCATCACTTCTACAAGCTGCCTGGCTACCACATCTCATATTTATGTCATTTGCTCTACTATGGTTGTATGTATTTATGTTTATATGACATGTAGCATGTTTATTATATAATTTTGAAAAAATATCATAAATGGATTTATGAAAATGTCTATATTAACGTGATATATAAAATTTAAAGTGCCCAGAGCGATTATTATTATTATTACTATTATTGCATCTTCAACAGTAATTTTAATTTGTACCTGCGTGCCAGCATAGTGTATAAGTTTATTTTGGTACAGGTACACATAAGCACAATTATCGGAGTATACATAATATATGCAATAACTTTAAAACACTTGAAATTTTGAAAAGTTTCCAGACATAATTGAGAGACACGGAGCTCATGGAGGATGTAAACAAATAGAGTGGCACGTGAACATTGTAATAGCAAATCAGGGAACTATATAAACAAATTTTCGGTCATAATTTGATATGTCCGTATTAGTGAATTGCTGTAAAGCAAAGTGTTGTAAAGCAGGGCCCTCCTGTACAAAGCATACAAATGTGAAAAAAAAATATTTGGACAGAAATAAGAAACACAGAAGACAGTAACAAGTTTACAAAAATTCTATTTTTGAAGTCACTAAATGTAAGAAATATTTAAAATATTTTCCATTTGCAAAGTACTGTATATGGTAATATCAGACAAAGAACGGAAAATATTGCTTGCTCATACTTTCGGATGATTTGAAGCGCTGTTGCAACTGGCTCTCCTCCAATTGCAAGGCATGTTCGCAGTTCAGGAAAACCATCAGCCTCAACAAATTTGCAGAGATAATCAATGTTGTCTTTTATCTGTTTTGCCAACTCACGAGATGGCACAATGATGAGACCTGTTGAGATTTTAGTAACTATTTACTTAATAATTTCATATATCTTTTATCTATCTCAGTAACAACTATCACAGAAATGTCGCTGTCTGCTGGTGTCACAACAGAGTCACGGTACTTTGGTGTAAATGTTTGGTCACAGTACAACAAGGTCATGTTAGTGTCATGGTACTGTTCTCACAGTAGTGTCACTTTTCGGTGGTGTCATGGTTCGCTAGTGTCACAGCACTTTGGTGTAACTGTACTCTCACAGTTATGTTGGTGTCACTTATCACTTGTATCAGTTGGAACAAAAATACTGAGTTCAGTAGACAGTAAAATAAACCCACTATGTCTCATCCTTGTTTGGTAAAATCAAATGAATTAAAGTTTAACCCCTTCAGGGTCCAAGGCCAAAATCTGAAGTGGTGCTCCAGTGTCCAAGAAATTTTGAAAAAAAAAAAAAATGATTTTTCTTACAGAATTAAAGAGCATATTTTTGTGAAGGTAATAAGACAAAAAAAAAATTCTGATCAGTACTTACCGAGATACAGTGCCAAGAAGTTTGTCAAAAATGATGTGGTGGCGGCAACATCGACGAATTCCACATACGCGCATTACATTATTTTGCGGTTTTTACATTTTTTTCTTTTCTTTTCCAATTTTTTTCTATTCCTACTAACATTTGGGGCCTGAGAGACCAATACTGTATATAATGTATATATATAAACTCACTGTATTGAACACAATAACCGCACTAAAGTTATTATCATATTATTGTTTACCACTGTTGTTTATTACAATAAACATGCACAAATCTTGTATAATACTAATGTTCTATCATATATTTACAATCACTGGACATGGTTTTAGAACTGCTCGAGCTTGTGGAACTCCTTGAAACAAGGCACCATGCACAGAGGCACCTTACATTCCTCACACATAAACCGAGTGTCTTTGCGTCTTTGTTGCCGTCGTTTTGTTTGTGCACAGACGATGCATCTCTTCTGAGCAAATTTTTTCTGAGTTGAAGGAAGTTGTATTATGAAATGATCACCTTCCCTCCTCAAACGCTTGGGTATATCCTGAGTAATTCAAGGGCCTTGTTGTATAGCAGGTGTTCTTACCTGGTACAGTGGACCCCCGCATAACGGACGCCTTGCATAGCGGACAATCCGCATAGTGGACGCTTTGATCGCTAAAATTTTGCCCCGCATAGCGCCCAAAAACCCGCTCAGCGGCCTTCGTCTGAGACGCGTCCAATGTGCGGCCTGAGCCACGCTCACATGTTCCGCGGGTGGCATTGTTTACCAGCCAGCCTCCGCGGTAACATCCAAGCATACAATCGGAACATTTTGTATTATTACAGTGTTTTTGGTGATTTTCTTCTGGAAAATAAGTGACCATGGGCCCCAAGAAAGCTTCTAGTGCCAACCCTACAGCAATAAGGGTGAGAATTACTATGGAGATGAAGAAAAAGATCATTGATAAGTATGAAAGTGGAGTGCGTGTCTCCGAGCTGGCCAGGTTGTATAATAAACCCCAATCAACCATCGCTACTATTGGTGGTACAACTGCTGCTGCTGCTGTATCACCGTCAGCTGCTGCTGCACTGTCAGCTGCTGCTGCTGTACCACCGTCAGCTGCTCCTGCTGCTGTAGTACCGTCTGCTGCTGCTGTAGCATCATCTGCTGCTGCTGTAGCATCGTCTGCTGCTGCTGTAGCATCGTCTGTTGCTGCTGTAGCATCGTCTGTTGCTGCTGTACCACCGTCAGCTGCTGCTGCTGCTGTAGCATCGTCTGCTGCTGCTGCTGCTGTAGCATCGTCTGCTGCTGCTGTAACATCATCAGTTGCTGCTGTAGCATCGTCTGCTGCTGCTGTAACATCGTCAGTTGCTGCTGTAGCATCGTCTGCTGCTGCTGTAGCATCGTCTGTTGCTGCTGTAGCATCGTCTGCTGCTGCTGCTGCTGTAGCATCGTCTGCTGCTGCTGTAACATCGTCAGCTGCTGCTGCTGCTGCTGTAGCACCGTTGTTGGTGTGGCTTATTGAGAATACCAAGAAACAATTAACCCCAGAGGATTTGCCACCCAGGATAGCCCAAAAAAGTCAGTGTCATCGAAGACTGTCTAACTTATTTCCATTGGGGTCCTTAATCTTGTCTCCCAGGATGCAACCCACACCAGTCGACTAACACCCAGGTGAACAGGAAAAATGCCTGGAACTAGTGCTCATATTGGTGAATTTAGAGCCAGCAAAGGTTGGTTTGAGAGATTTAAGAATCGTAGTGACATACACAGTGTGATAAGGCCTGTTCTGGAAGAAAATACCAAACAGGACCTACAGTACTCAGGAGGAAAAGGCACTCCCAGGACACAGTGTCTCATCAGTCATTGCTGCATCTTCAATAAAGGTAAGTGTCATTTATTCTTCATTTAGTAGAGTAGTACATGCACAATATATATTGTGCATGTACTACTCTACTATTGTGCATGTATCCTTCTCTTTGTGTGTAGGAAAATGTATATTTCATGTGGTAAAATTTTTTTTTTCAAACTTTTGGGTGTCTTGCACGGATTAATTTGATTTCCATTATTTCTTATGGGGAAAATTCATTCACATAGCGAACATTTCGCATAACAGCCAGCCCTCTTGCACGGATTAAGGTCGCTATGCGGGGGTCCACTGTACTTCATTATGAGTTGTCTGACAACAGACAAACAAAATTCACCATATGGTGGTCTGTTGCCAGTCTTTATTTGGTACATATTATATGCATTGAGCATTGAAATGTCCATGAGATGGAAGAAAAGTTTCATGTACCACTTGTAACTCTTACGAGCACAGTCAACAAAACCAATCTGCATGTCACATTTGTCAACCAAGTGCATGTTTTGTGTATAATCAATCACTGTCACTGGTTTTCAAATACGTTCATTAGTCACTCGATCAACTTTGCCACTGTCTTGCATTTCATTACGGTGAATGGTTGTCAACAATGTGACATCTCGTTTGTCATGCCACCGTAATGCCATGATGTCATTGGCAGTAAACACCTGCACGTCATCACCACGAGCACCTGCGTTGAGCCTGGGCATATGTTTACGATTAGAACGCACTGTGCCACACACATCTGTCTTGTTCACTCGCATGAAATCACTGAGTAATGGGCTTGTGTACCAGTTATCGGTATATAATGTATGCCTCTTAACAAGATAAGGTGCCATCATGTTTCTCACTACGTCACCTGAGATACCCAATAACATCTTGGTATCTTTCAATGTTTTACTACCCGTGTATACAACAATATCCAACACCAGGCCACTGTCACAATCACAGAGTACAAACAGTTTTATACCAAAGCGTTTCCTCTTGCTCGGTATATAATGCTTGAATGACAGTCTACCTTTGAACAAAATCAAAGACTCGTCAATTACAAGATTCTTGAATGGATAAAAGTATATGCTGAACTTTTGTTTGAGATACATGAAAACATTTCTAATCTTGTATAACCTGTCACTTCTGTCAGGCCTGGTTTTGTCAAAGAAGTGCAACATATGTAAGAGTGAGATAAACCTGTTCACTGGTATGATTTCACTGAAGACCGGGGTAGAAATTAGCCGATCTGTGGACGAGTATGCTTTTATATTATGCTTATACACATGAGGCATAAGCATTATTGTTGCAAAAAGCAAATACATTTCTGCAACAGTCGTCTCTTTCCACCTGTGTAGTCTTGACTGTGGTGATAAGATCGTATTTGCCATGGTGTACTCAAAATACTTATTACTTTCCCTGACAATAGTTTCCATCAATGGCTGGTCAAAGAATAATTCAAAGAATTCCAGTTCATTGGCCGTGGTTCCAAGGGGACAAGTAGGTAGAATTCCACTTTGAGAGTCATCAAAGTGGTGAGGCTTGGGAACAAAATTGGGATTTTGCTACCAATCCCACATACAGTTTGCTGGTGGATACTGGACATCATAGGCTGGTTGTGCAGGTGGTTGTGGTTGTGGTGGGCTGGTGGCTGACGCTCCGCTTTGTCCTTGAACTAACAAGTCAGCAGCATGGGTCCCAGCGTGGGCTGGTGAGTCACGCATGGCGGTGGCACTACCATCACCACTAACACCATCCACTGATGCCTGTGGTCTATCCATGCCAAGTATAGCCACATCATCCTCACTATCACTACCTAAAACTGGTGTAGGGCCACGGGATGTACTCCGGGATGTACTCCAGGATGTACTCCAGGATGTACTCCAGGATGTACTCCAGGATGTACTCCGTCCCCTGGGCACAGCATAGGGTACACTACCCGAGTGCATGCAGCGGCGAACATACTGACGCTTCACTGGTGAATATGATTCCTCACTATCACTACTCGAATGATCGTCGAGCGCAATAAAATCACAATCCACGTCACTATCATCATCATTACTGAAGTCAGAGGCCTGGCCACGCGAAAATATTAGTTTTCTCTTGCGTTGAGGAACAACCGACCGTGAGTCACGAGTGCCCACACCAGAGGTAGAAGGTTGAGGATCGTCAGGGTTTTCTGCACTATTATCGATATCCGGGTCATTCTTTTCGGTCACTAACTGATCAAAGCCATAGAATTCGTCTTCATTTCCACTTCCATCACTGTCAGAACTATCAGATAGGAAGAGGAGAGTCCCAATTTTCCGGGGAGTGAGAGCTGACTTGCGATGAGGCATGGTGAACAAGGGTAACTGAGCCGGCGTTTCCACAATGCTATGCGGGCGCCTAGATTTTTTGTTTATGGCGCACACCCACCACGCAGACCCGTTCTCTCACATGTAGGCCTATGAGCGTTTTCGCGCTAAATTTGACGGCGCTAGAATTTTGGCGTAGATCTACAGTTTGGACACTCAACGTGAAGCCATAGATCTACGGGATGGACCCTGAAAAGGTTAAACATAACCTGAATGTTTCATAACTCTTCATTTTGTTCTTCCTACTAGCGAATGAAACTTCCTTTCCCATTCCTTCTGCTGTAATACAGTGGACCCCCGGTTTGCGATGCTATCGGTATCCGATAAATCCGGTAACCGATGCATTATATCGTAGAAAATTTGCCTTGCTTCCCGATACAAAACCCGGTATGCGATGTGGTTCGTAAGAGACGTGTCCATGTGTGGCCTGAGCTGCCCCGTGTGTGCCAGTGTTTACAAGCCAGCCAGTGTGCGCGCATCTAAGGATACATTCAGTACATTCCATATTATCCATATTATCACTGTTTTTGGTGCCTGTTTTGGCAAAATAAGTCACCATGGGCCCCAAGAAAGCTCCCAGTGCCAACCCTTCGAGACCAAGGGTGCTAATAACTGTTGAAATGAAGAAAGAGATAATTGCAAAGTACGAAAGTGCGTGTGTCGGAGCTGGTCAGGTTGTATAGTAAACCCCAATCAACCATCTCTACTATAGTAGCAAGAAAACGGCAATCAAGGAAGCTGTTCTTGCAAAAGGTGCAACTGTGATTACGAAACAGCGACCGCAAGTGTTAGAAAATGTTGAGAGACTGTTATTGGTGTGGATAAATGAAAAACAGATAGCAGGAGATAGCATCTCTCAAGCAATCATTTGTGAAAAGGCTAGGCACTTGCATGACGATTTGGTAAAAAAAATTGCCTGCAACTAGTGGTGATGTGAGTGAATTTAAGGCCAGCAAAGGTTGGTTTGAAAGATTTAAGAATCGCAGTGGTATACATAGTGTGATTAGGCATGGTGAGGCTGCCAGTTCAGACCACAAAGCGGCTGAAAAATATGTGCATGAATTCAAGGATTACATAGAGGCTGAAGGATTGAAACCTGAACAAGTGTTTAATTGTGACAAAACAGGCCTGTTTTGGAAGAGATTACCAAGCAGGACCTACATTACTCAGGAGGAAAAGGCACTCTCAGGACATAAGCCTATGAAAGACAGGCTTACTCTGTTGATGTGTTCCAATGCTAGTGGTGATTGCAAAGTGAAGCCTTTATTGGTGTATCACTCAGAAACTCCCAGAGCATTCAGGCAAAAGAATGTCCTCAAGGCTAATCTGTGTGTGCTGTGGAGGGCAAACAGTAAGGCATGGGTCACTAGGGACTTTTTTTATGACTGGTTACACCATGCATTTGCCCCCAGTGTGAAAAATTACCTAATTGAAAAGGAATTAGACCTTAAGTGCCTCCTGGTATTAGACAATGCCCCTGGTCATCCTACAGACTTGTCAGAGCAACTTTGTGGGGACATGAGTTTCATTAAGGTCAAGTTTTTGCCTCCTAATACCACTCCTCTCCTGCAGCCCATGGACCAGCAGGTCATTTCTAACTTCAAGAAACTGTGCACAAAAGCTATGTTTGAAAGGTGCTTTGAAGTGACCACAGAAACTCAATTGACTCTAAAGGAGTTTTGGAAGGTCCAGTGACTCTCAACCTGGTACTAGTGGCATTAAAAGAAGAAGGTAAGTAACCCCGGAAAAGGACTTGCTACCTCAAGTCCTAATGGAGGGGGATTCCCCTTCTAAATGCTAACACCATCCACACTCTCCCCTCCTCCCATCCCATCAATCATCACCAGATCTTCATTAAAGGTAAGTGTCAATTATTCTTTCGTTATTTATTGTTATTTATTGTTATTGTAATTACTAGTCTATTGCATTAAACTTAATATTTCACGTGGTAAAAGTTTTTTTTTCATACTTTTGGGTGTCTTGCACAGATTAATTTGATTTCCATTATTTCTTATGGGGAAAATTGATTCGCTTTCCGATATTTTTGGTTTACGATGAGCTCTCAGGAACGGATTAGTATCACGAACCGGGGGTCCACTGTATATATAACTTTACTAACTAAAAATCAATATAAATTTATAAATCAATACTACCCATGAACAGATTTTTTCATACAGTTATGTCATATTATCCCTATACAAAATATATACACTGAAGCAATCAGGAAATAATGAAGCCTGCTTAAGTTAAAAAATATCAGAAATTGTTTGATTTGATCAAATCATTGCATATTACCAGCAATCAATAAACTCCAATAAATTACTGAAAGTAAAGCTGGGCAGTGGATAAAGAAAAATTAGTGAACAATAATCTAGTAACTTATTATAATTATCATCATCATCATGTGAAGGTCTTAACCTGGGACTGGAAAGTAATCAGGTTTGAGCCAAGAATACAGAGGATGCCTCCAGTTTCTTGGATCAGGTGCTCTTTACCAGTGACATGAAATTCCTTTGTAGTAGGTGTTTTTGAAACCCTATGTGGACTCCACTTACACCTTGTCTTTACCACTCTTCTGTTTAACCCTTTCAGAGTCGACAGGCCCTCTCAGAGACTTGTTCTCAGGGTCAGCCAAATTTCAAAAGAAAAAAAAAATTATTTTTTCTTATGAAAAGATAGAGAATCTTTTCCCGATCATAGTGACACTAAAAGTATGAAATTTGACGGAAAACTTACGGAATTATGCTCTTGTGAAGTTAGCGGTCTCGAAGATGTTTATGCATCGACGATTTTGCCCACTTTGAGCTCTATTTTCAGCCAATTTCAGTGTACTTGTCGACAAAAATCATAACTATTTCGCTAGAACTACATTTTTCTATCGAATGAGTACAAGAAACCACCCATTTACCGATTTCAACTATCCAATACAGCGGTCAGAATTTAGCAATTTTGCCAATTTCACACAAATTTCAAAAGATGCCTATTTCCAAATAGGGTCCAGAATAAACAAGAAAGATATTACTGGCACTAAAATAACATTTCCTCTGTTCATTAGTCACGTCCCATGCCCCTTTTACATTCTTCTGCTTTCCACTTTGAATTTTTATTCTCGCAAAAAAATAGAAGATTTACTGTTATGCAGACTACTGCATTGGTGTAGAAATGGTTTATCTGGAGTTTATCTGGAGAGAGTTCTGGGGGTCAACGCCCCCGCGGCCCGGTCTGTGACCAGGCCTCCTTAGGTCAGTGTCCCAGGATGCGACCCACACCAGTCGACTAACACCCAGGTACCCATTTTACTGATGGGGAACATAGACAACAGGTGGAAGGAAACACGTCCAATGTTTCTACTCTGGCTGGGAATCGAACCCAGGCCCTCACCGTGTGAAGCGAGAGCGTTAACCACCAGGCCACCAGAGCCTGGGGGTATAAATATTATCAGCGCACTTGTGAAAGAATATTAGACTCACCAGTTGATGTGTATTGGACGCATAGCATGATTTGTTTACTTTTGAACTTTGGTAAAAATCGAACATTTTTGCTACTTTGAGCACATTTTCAAGGTAGTTTTCTTTGTAAAACCAGTCAAAATCATCTCAGTTTCTGTAATATGTCTTTCATTCTATAAAATGAGACCAGGGAAAACTAGAATATAACAATAAATACCATACGAAAATATAGTGCAAAGTCGCTGTTTTAATCCAAAAACACGGTCAAAGTTTTTTTTTTCTCATTACGCACTGTGTGCTGCAGGATTTTTTTATACTGCGCACACTGACCACATAGACCCATTCTTTCATATGTAGGCCTACCAGCTTTCTCTCACTAGATTTGAGGGCGCTAGAATTTAGGCGTACTAGTACGTCAAAAACCCTGGTGCATAAGCCGTACTAGTACGGCCGAAACCCTGAAAGGGTTAAGACATTTTTTTCCAAATATCCCTACAGCTCATCGGGGAGGGAGGGATGGAAGATAATTTGCAACCATGCCCTTATGTTCTAATTTCATCCCTAGCAAAGATGTTCTTTTTTTGCCAAGTCTATACACCCGAGGATAGTGTGTTGCAATCATATCCCCCTCTAGTTCATTCTTTCAAGCACCAGCCTGGATACACTCCTTTGTACCTAAGTTTCATTTTTTGTTACTAGATGAAAGTTCCATACAGGCCACATGGATGAAGTAATAGTGTATTTTGAACATATTTTTAGCTAGACTCCTTAACCCTTAAACTGTCCAAACAGATCTATGTTCACATGCGTAGTGCTCCAAAAGTAGATCTACGTTTTTTTACATATTTTCAAATATAACAAAAAAAAAAGTAGATGAAAGTTTTTTGTACACGTTTTCAAATGTAAAAAAAAAAAAAATCTACATTTTTTTACATATTTTCAACTGTTGAAAAAAACATAGATCTACGTTGGGACAGTTTAAGGGTTAATGCCACTCATGTTACAAGACATGTGCTGCTGACACTAGTCTGTTTATATACAATTCAGGTTAAAGTGTCAGGATCATTTCCATGAGCTTATTTCCTCCCAAATAGTATCCTGTCTTAAGTTTCCTGAACACTGAACCAGGAAAAAGTGAATGGAAGCATCAGCCATTCAACAAATTAAGGACCCTAATTACTGCACAATCGCTTTCTAAATGACTGGTGAACAAATATCAGTACTGTGAAAATTGCTGGACTACTGCTTGTGGATTTTCCTCACTGTGATTTCCTCTATTATAAAGAGATCACGATGACTGCCTTAACAGACTCAAACAAGTATAAGTGCAGCTTACCATATGGCCCTTCATTGCTCATAAAGGGAAGCTTCTTCTCTTGTTCTAGACAAAACATAACAATAGGCAAGATAAACACCATACTTTTCCCACTGCCAGTAAAAGCAATGCCAATCATATCTCTTCCTTTCAGAGTTGCTGGGATGCCTTGCATCTGAAAATATAAAAGCAATTCCGTTAAAAGTGAATACAGTGGAACCTCAGCTTACGAATTTAATCCGATCCGTGGACTTGTTCGTATCCTAATTTGTTCGCATGCTGGGTCAATTTTCCTCATTTAAATTAACTGAAATGCAATTAATTCGTACCAGCTGAATTCCTACTCTCAGGAAGCATGACAAAATAACCCTAATATCAACTCTACAGCTTGCTTATCTGTCACAATTCATCTAACATGAAATAATAAACAAGATAAATACATAACACAGAAACCTGATATATACTCTAGCCCTTTGACTGTTTTAGTCGTATATATATATGTCTTACGCGCCACTGTTTCGGACGTATGTATACACGTAAATTCTAGCGGCTTCAAACCAAGCAGGAGAAAGCTGGTAGGCCCACATGTGAGAGAATGGGTCTGTGTGGTCAGTGTGCACCACATAAAAAAAATCCTGCATCACGCAGTGCATATTGAGAGAAAAAAACTCACTGCTTTTTTGGATTAAAACACCGACTTTAAGGTGTATTTTCATATAGTATTTTTCGTTGTATTCTCGTTTTCATGGTCTCACATGATAAAATGGAAAACATATTACAGAAATAGAGATGATTTTGATTAGTTTCACGATGAAAACGACCTTGAAATTGAGCTCAACGTAGCGGAAATGTTCGATTTTTACCAATGTTCAGGAGTAAGCAAATCACACCACACGTCCAATACACGTCAACTGGGGAGTCTAATATTCTTTCACTAGTGCACTGATATTATTTATACCATTTTTACAATAATACAGTAATCTGTATAAAAGTAAATTTTGTATTTTTTGTATGAATAAAAAATCAAAATAGAAAGCAAGAGTAATATAAGAGGGGCCTAGAGATGTGACTAATGAACAGAGGATATGTTATTTTAGTGCCAAGAATGTCTACACTGTTTATTCTGGACCCTATTTTGAAACCTGTATCTTTTTTAATTTGTGTGAAATTGGCCAAATTGCCAATTTCTGACAACTTTACTGGGTAGTTCAAATTGGTAAATGGGCAGTTTCTTGTACTCAACTGGTAGAAAAAATGGAGTTCTAAAGAAACAGCTATGAGTTTGTTGTTGTTGTTGTTGTTGTTGTTGTTGGGTTTATCAGGGCCACTGACAGCATGCGCCGTATCGAGCCCGACTTCTCGATGGTACGAGAAAAAATTGTTGCCCAAGGCTGGGCGATTTGAGAAAAGGAACAAAAGTTCCTTTGTAAATAGAGACAGAAACTTGAAGCTTCCAATTAGATCTGGTGGTACACCCTTGCCAAGCCCCAGCAGAGAGGGACGCCTACACTCTCGCCTTGGCTCAGTAACCGGCTTCCCACCAAAGACTGTTAAAGAATTTTCCGCAGAGCGGAAAAAATGGAGCTGGCTAAAGTAAGCCAATGAACAGGAGCCCCTCCTGTAGAGTGCCTGGTGGGCAAAATAGATGAGGACAAGCGTCCCAGAGAGAACGGGGGAAATTTGTCACTGATACTCAGCCGAGATAAAGACATCCACATCCGACAAAGGCTGGCGCAGAAGTCCAAACACCGTGTTCACACTATCAAGACTCAGCTATGAGTTTGGTCAACTGGAACAATGGAATTGGCCAAAAACAGGGCTCAAAGTCAGCGAAATCACCGATGTGTATGTCACTGAGACTGCTAACTTCATGGGAGCGTAATTCTGTGAGTTTTCGACGAAATTTTGTACTTTTGGTGTCATTACCATCGGGAAAAGATTCTCTATCATTTCATAAGAAAAAATTTTGCGGCATAGAATGACAGTTTCAGAAAGGGGCTGGCAACAGTCAAAGGGCTAGAATGAATAAAATGTGTCATTATGTGGACAGCGGAGGGGAGGAGGATTGTGGTCAAATATTCTAGCTATGAAAACATCAGAGGTATTATAAGAGAAAACAGAGTTTGTGAGGCTAACTGAATTAGATCTGGTGTACACACAACATTTACATACCTTGGAGAAGAAATGCAGAGCAACATATCCTGTCAGGAGTTCACACTTTTTTAAAGAACTGCTATGTACAATTTTTATGTTTATCTCATTACACTATGTATCTCCTGTGAGCTGTTTCTCTGTCAACCATGTCAATGGCAGCTTTACCATCTTTTCATTGACAGAGGTCCACTGCTTAGAAATAACTGTAATGCCCTTTGCTGGCGTTACAGCTTTTATAGACTCCTTCTGCTTTAGTATTGTACATATACAGTGGAACCTCAAATTTCAAACTTAATCCATTCCAGGAGTTAGTTCTAAAGTCAAAAAGTTTGAAAGGCGAAGCAATATGGAAATACAATTAATCTGTTCCAGAACCCAAAAATATTCACAAAAAAAATACATTTTACAGATAGCATTACATTACAGTTTTACATACACACAACAAATAGAGGGTACAATTATTAATAAATTTAAATAAACATATAAAATGGAGCAAGGGGCTAGTAACCTCTTCTCCTGTATATAATACTAAATGTAAAAGGAGAAACTTTCGTTTTTCCTTTTGGGCCACTCTGCCTCGGTGGGATACGGCCGGTGTTTTGAAAGAAAGAAACATATAAAATAACATTTTTACTTACCTTTATTGAAGATTGGTGATGGCATCTGGAAGATAGGGAGGAGGAGAGAGGAAGTTGGGATTAGTGTTTGGAAGGGGAATCCCCTTCCATAAAGACTTTAGGTATCAAAGTCCTCTCTGGGGTTACTTCCCTTCTCTGTCTTTTAATGCCACTAGGACCAGCTTGAGTCACTGGACCCCTGTCTCACAAAATAACTGTCTACAGTCCTGTCTACAGTCCTCTGTTTCTGGCGCCTCTTTAAGATTTCCCTAAAATGGGACATGGTCCTGTCACTGAACGTGTTGCAAAGATGGCTTGCTCAGAGTAGTACTTCTTCACAAACATATGGATATCATTCCACTTGGCGCAAATCTCCTTAATCTTTGAATCAGCATGCAACTTCCTTGCCTTGTCACAAATAATCGTCTCTGAAACACTATCACCTGCCATCTCTTTATCCTTGATCCACACCAGCAACAACTTCTCAACCTGATCGATTGTCTGTGGTCTTTTTTTGGTTAGCACATCAACACCTTTCGCAACATCAGCTTTCTTGATTTGTTCTTTCTTTGCCAGGATAGAAGTGATGGTCGACTTCTTTTTCCCGTACATCCTGGCAAGCTCAACAAGTTGCACACCACTCTCACACTTTTGTATTATTTCCTTCTTCACATCTATGGTCATTCTCACTTTCTTTACCACAAGGGTACCAATAGCAAGTTTCTTTGGGCCCATGGTAGCTTATTTCACAGTCCCACAAGCACTAAACACAATGAATTAATCGTAAAATGTTTGAATGAGACCACAGGTTAGTGTTCACTCAAGCATCACAGCACCTGTGCAGGGGCATGGACAGAGCAGGCTGGCAGACAGGTCCGGTATCCGGCGGTTCGAAAGAAGGGGGCGAGTTCGATAATAGGGACAAAGTTGGTTCAAAAAATGCAGTCGATTTTCAAAGAGTTCAATAAGCAATACATTCGAAATCTGAGGTTCCACTGTAGTAGATTATTATTATAATCATGGGGAAGCGTTAAACCTGTAGGTACATATAATAGCACATGCTGTGGATTCCATCTCACATTGGTCTTCAGATGCATGATAGAACTGATAAATTGGCTAAGCTGTATGCTTTCAAAGAGGGGGTAGATTACAATCTTGGGTTGTCAGTTAGCAGTTTGAGAACAATAATACGAAAAAAACTTCAATTGAACTTTATTGACTTAAGACTTAGGGAGATTGACACAAGTCAGTCCATCTATCATCATTCCATCATGCAGGAGGAGCCACATGTCTATGGTGCATCCAACAAGATAAGCAGACTCTTGGATGTCACTACTGCCCGGCTCTGTCTGGGTTACAAGTATCTATGGCAGGTTAAATCACCACCACCTTGTGTCATTATGTACTGGAGTGCGATCAAATTAATGAATTTAGAGACAACTCACTCAGAAATGTTCAAGAAATGGCAAAGTATTTTATCCACAGTGGTATATTACAGACCATTCTGGAGAAATACCCTGACTTTGCTAGCTGTAAATAAAGCATTACCACGTACATACATACGTGTGTGTGTGTGTGTGTGTGTGTGTGTGTGTGTGTGTGTGTGTGTGTGTGTGTGTGTGTGTGTGTGTGTGTGTGTGTGTGTGTGTGTGTGTGTGTGTGTACGTACTCACCTAATTGTGGTTGCAGGGGTCGAGACTCAGCTCCTGGCCCCGCCTCTTCACTGATCGCTACTGGGTCCTCTCTCTCTCTGCTTCCTGAGCTTTGTCATACCTCTTCTTCAACCTATGTATGGTTCCTGCCTCCACTACTTCACTTGCTAGGCTATTCCACTTGCTGACAACTCTATGACTGAAGAAATACTTCCTAACGTCCCTGTGACTCGTCTGAGTCTTCAGCTTCCAGTTGTGACCCCTCTCTGGAACATCCTATCTCTGTCCACCTTGTCTATTCCCTGCAGTATCTTGTATGTCGTTATCATGTCTCCCCTGACCCTTCTGTCCTCCAGTGTCATCAGTCCAATTTCCCTTAACCTTTCCTCGTACGACATTCCCTTGAGCTCTGGGACTAGCCTTGTTGCAAATCTTTGTACTTTCTCTAACTTCTTGACGTGCTTGACCAGGTGTGGGTTCCAGACTGGTGCTGCATACTCCAGTATGGGCCTAACATACACAGTGTACAGTGTCTTGAACGATTCCTTATTAAGGTATCGGAACGCTATTCTCAGGTTTGCCAGGCGCCCGTATGCTGCAGCGGTTATTTGGTTGATGTGTGCCTCCGGTGATGTGCTCGGTGTTATGGTCACCCCAAGGTCTTTCTCCCTGAGTGAGGTCTGTAGTCTTTGTCCACCTAGCCTATACTCTGTCTGCGGTCTTCTTTGCCCCTCCCCAATCTTCATGACTTT